AAGGTCTGAAGTATACAAATGGAAGACAGGAATAAATAAAGGGGATATAAATACCATGTTGAAAATATCTTAACCAGCAGCAGTGGATTCAAGTTGGGGGAATTTAGATTTATTTCGAAAGGATAAAGTACTGAAGAGTACTGGTTTGGCAGTAGAGTTGTAGATGAGTGAAACTCTCAAGTAGCATCATTGAGGCAAGAAATTTGAGCAACATTTTAAATATAGGTTTAATGGGTACATGAGTTGATGTGGGTGGGAGTGAATTGGACCTGCCTAGCATGGGCCAGTAGGCCTTTGCATTGTTTCTTTGTTCCCAAAATAAAATGAAGGGTAAGTGTAATATGAGAGGCCTGGGGATGTGATCAATGAAAAGAAAAAAAGGTTCTTTTAGTAGTTGGAATGTTATTTTTATTTATTATCACACTGGCTGATACCCACCAAGGCAGGGTGGCCCGAAAAAGAAAAACTTTCACCATCATTCACTCCATCACTGTCTTGCCAGAAGGGTGCTTTACACTACAGTTTTTAAACTGCAACATTAACACCCCTCCTTCAGAGTGCAGGCACTGTACTTCCCATCTCCAGGACTCAAGTCCGGCCTGCCGGTTTCCCTGAACCCCTTCATAAATGTTACTTTGCTCACACTCCAACAGCACGTCAAGTATTAAAAACCATTTGTCTCCATTCACTCCTATCAAACACGCTCACGCATGCCTGCTGGAAGTCCAAGCCCTTCGCACACAAAACCTCCTTTACCCCCTCTCTCCAACCTTTCCTAGGCCGACCCCTACCCCGCCTTCCTTCCACTACAGACTGATACACTCTTGAAGTCATTCTGTTTCGCTCCATTCTCTCTACATGTCCGAACCACCTCAACAACCCTTCCTCAGCCCTCTGGACAACAGTTTTGGTAATCCCGCACCTCCTCCTAACTTCCAAACTATGAATTCTCTGCATTATATTCACACCACACATTGCTCTCAGACATGACATCTCCACTGCCTCCAGCCTTCTCGCTGCAACATTCATCACCCATGCTTCACACCCATATAAGAGCGTTGGTAAAACTATACTCTCATACATTCCCCTCTTTGCCTCCAAGGACAAAGTTCTTTGTCTCCACAGACTCCTAAGTGCACCACTCACTCTTTTTCCCTCATCAATTCTATGATTCACCTCATCTTTCATAGACCCATCCACTGACACGTCCATGAAAGATGAGGTGACTCATAGAATTGATGAGGGAAAAAGAGTGAGTGGTGCACTTAGGAGTCTGTGGAGACAAAAAACTTTGTCCTAGTTGGAATGTGTATAGTGTTTATTTTTTGCTCTATTTTTATATTGGATTTTTTAATTTTGTGTAAAATTGGCCAAATTACCAACTTGTGGCACATTATAGGGTAGTTCTGATAGTTAATTGGGCAGTTTCTTGTGCTCATTTGATAGAATGGAAGGCATACTAGTGAAATTGCTAGAAATTGGGTCAAATTGATCATTGGAATTTGAATAAAATGAAACTCAGTTCAGCAAAATCACTGATGTGGAAACTGCACTCAGACCACCAACTTTGCACTTGCGTAATTTTGTGAATTCTGTGGTGTTATTACCTTCAGGAAAAGATTCTCTTATCATTTCATGAGATTATTTTTTTTTTAAATCGGAACACTGTCAGCACTTTTAATTTTGAGTCGCAACAGCGAACAGGTTAAAATAACCCACATCTGTTACAAAGCCATTAAATTCTCAGTGTTAAAAAAAAACTACTTATTACTTGAAGTCCAATAGTCACCCTGGAATTTACAAGAACTCCAACATAAGAAAAAAAAAAAAAAAAAGGCCAAACCCATGGGCAAACATAATGTGTTCCACAGTCAGCCTAATGCCACAAATTTCAGAGAGGAGCCAGTGTGGCTGCAGGCAGGTGGCTATGCTTGTGAGTTAAGTCCTTGTGCCAAATACTAAATCCATATAGAACAGTCTCAAAATCAGGAAGAGAACCCAACTTCTCTGATCACTGACACATCAATGCCAAACTCTAGAAGGGCAGTTTGTATTTCACCTGACAAAGTAAGGAATGCCTCGCTGCAAATCTGCATTCTTAGGTGATAGCTTGTAACAGGTGCAGCAGGAGAGGGCAGACCAAGGAGTAGATCTGGTAGCCATACTCCAGTCTGGAAATACACAAGATCATGTACAGTCAGAACATGGTATGCTGATTCACTCGTAGGTATGGCAGGAGAGCACCTTGAAAATCTCTAGCTCTATAGAGCATCCACTTAGAGCATCTTTATATGCTCAGAAAGGCCTGTATCAGGGCGTGATCAAGACTATTCCCGAATATGTCAACCACTACTCATAGGAAAGGAGCACATCATGGAGTAGCATATTAAGAACAGGCTGTTTTACCTGTGACTAGGTAAAATGTACAGCCACCATCATCTGGGAGGAAAACTAGTGGTCATTAGAAGCAGCCCCCATCATGATATTGTCACCACAACCTGAGGCTGTTGACAGGCCACATGTTAGTCAGAATGCATTTAAAGAAATTGCAATAATTAGCCTTGCAGTCCCAAAGTCTGAACACTAAAGAGAACAAATCTCCATATTGTGTCATAGGCATTATTCAGGTCCAAGCCCACCAAAATATAAAGGTGTATTCTGCAACCCTCTTGGCTGTTACTAGTTAGCCAGTCCTTAACTGGAACTTGTGGAAGTCAGACACCAAGAGACTTTCACCTCTTAAATGCTAGACCAGATGAATGTTTGGTATCTTCTTGTGACAGCTTACATATGCTGCTCATCAGACCAGTAGTTCATAGCTTTCCTTGCTTGGGGATGGCCAGAGCAACAGATAACAAAACTTTGGGGAAGCACCCCACTTATGCAGACACAATTAAAAGTAATTAAAAAATGAGGCAAGATGAAGGTGCAGCAATATGTTGTAATGCACACCATCCTTCCCTGCATGAAGGGCTGCAGACAAGTTGGCTGACAGTTCTCCCATTTCAAACAGGTCAAAAGGCTCCAGTGTCTTCCACAATAGGCAAAGAACTCACAACTGTCTCCAAACACTCAAAACAGAGAAATCCTGAGCAAGGGTGTTGGCTACCTTTGAAGGGTCATCCAGCAACTGCGCATGATGGACAAGGCAAAGCAAGAAGCTCAGGTAATACATCAGACATCTGAGGGTGTTGGAGTTAACCCTCTCCAAGTAATGGACCCAGGACATGTGCCGAGCATTTCTGAACACTTTCCTCTTGATGGCTAACAACCAGTTGTAGCTCAATATGTATTATTATTATTATTATTATATTCATGAGGGGAGTGCTAAACTTGTAGGCTCATACAGCACCAGAGGAAAGGGATGCAAGTCAAATTTGATTGAAGGTAGAGGAGAAAAGGTTCAATTTCTTGGATCTAAGGTCCCCCTCCCCTCTCCTCACTGGTATCAAGGAAACCTTCCTTGATGGGTTAATTGACCATGATATTGTCCATTGCTACCTGACGATGTTGGCAGCTACCTTTTACTAAAAAATTATTAGAGTAACTGGAACAGTCAGCCTTACAGTTCTAGAGTCTGAAGATGAAGGAAAATGCCAGACCTCCATGTTGTATCATAGGCTATCACCATGTCAAAAAAAAAAAAAAAAAAAGCCTGCCAAAGCAACCACACCTGAGGTGGAGATAACCTGTGCACATAATCCAGTGATGCTTCTCACAGTCCATGTTCCACCAAGGGACTGGCAAATGGGACCAAGTCACTTGACCAGGGAATGCTAACCTTTGCCACCCCAGGACAACACTCACAAAATTTTTATTAACTCCTTGGTCATTGAAATTGCGAAGGGCACACGTGACATGTGCGCGAGCCTCAAAAACCACCAGTCTGCTACCCCCAATATTATTATACTGTGTTAAAATCAAGCACTAAACCTGTATGGGTTATACAGCTTCTGCTACCTCAGACTTTCACTGCAGAGGGTAAACTGGAGGGAAGGATCTCTGTGAATCCAGCAGGAGAAGGAAATGATCATTGTCCCACAAATCTTGGATAACAGACCATCTGAAGTCCAAATAAAAAAAAAAACTGGAACCCTTATAAAGGTCTCTGCCCAATATAGTGTTCATATGAATGCCATAGGTCAGGGACCCATCACTCAGGATGCTAAAATTGAAAAGGGTCAGGAAGGCACTCCTGTCCACCACAGAGTAACCCCCATAGTTTGGCAGGCCTTAAAGTCACACAGGAGGAATGGGCAGGGTAGTTCACAGATTAGATCAGGAAGAACAGTGTGTTCTAAAACCCAGTCTAGAGGAAGTTACATGGGGCACAGTCAGATTTCCCTCCAAGCTCATCTGGACAGCCACAGCCTGCAGGGAGGGCAGACGAATCTGACTGTGGTGGGTAGCAGCATAGACCATGATACCAATACCCCTTTTGGCAACTACACCAGGAGAGGGTGCAGAGGAATACTAGCCTACTGTAGATGGGCATCTAAAAGAAACCTGCTACAACTGCAGCAAAATTCCACGTATCACTCTCCAAGGCTGCTGCTACAACTCCTAAAAACTGCCCATATTTACTTCAGACAATTCCATTATTCTTCAAATGCCTCTGATTAAGTTGCCCCTAGATTAAGCAAGAAGCATCCTTATCAGTGAGCAAGACAGGATCAGCATTCAAGGTTGGAATTTTATTCACATTATTTTATTGTTTAATTAATATGTACACATTGTAGAAATGTTATTTTGTTGTATGTATATGTAAATAAAAAGTAATATTGAATAAAAATTCTTGGGAGAAAAATTCTGAAATTGGATATGATAAATTAATAGCTCAGAAACAAATTAATCCACTTTACATTGTTTCTTTTGGTAAAATAGATTCCAAGTAATGAACATAAGATTTATGATGGATTTTTGAGAATGTGTTAATGTCGTAAGTTCGGGATCTGTTGTGTATATACATATACCTGTACATGTGTAATGAAAAAAAAGAGTAACCAACAAACAAAATAATTTTTTATTAAGTTTCACAGGTGGCAGTTTCCTGGCTAAGGAAACAAGATAAGAAAAGATTCACACATCTTAAGAATCATGAAATACATAAGATATGTAGGTAATCATACAAAAGCACATTCACTCCCTGTATTGTACCATGAAATATTCCATTGCAAAACTTTTCAATAATTTGTATAAATTTATTAGTCTCACAAATAAAAGATGACAAATAACAAGAATGGGACCCAGTTAGCTGAGTGAACATAATTATACAAAAGTATTAGCACTGCTTAAAAATTTAACCATTATTTCAATAATTAATTATAATTATCCATAATATTTAAAGTTGTGATAGCTCTTGGGTCTCAAGGAATCTCATAACTTAGATGACATGTCAGAAATGTGATGAAGGCATATTCTAGGACAGGACTTGATGTAAGTTATTACACAGCTGATTTAGCGATGAGCAGCAAGGTGGCTTATAATGTCATTTCGATTAAGCTTGCCTTTAGTAGGCTCGTCAGAATCCAAGACTTGAACACCGCTATCCCACCACCATACAACTCCTCCACTGTATGATGATCTGAAGGATAAATAATGTTAGTTCTTCATGTATATTTAGAAATTCATAATTTTATTTATGGCATAAGTGTGATAAATGATAAAAAGGAAAGACAATTTATGTACATTACATATGAAGAGGAATTTAATAAAAATATATGAAGCACTAAACCTACAGTAGGCATCATAAATATGCACATGCATGCACAGACACACGCCAATGGCTTCCATTATGTCCTTCGTTTTTTTTGGCCTGCCTTATGTGGTCCAATGATCTGGGCTATTATATCTTGTGTCAAAGACTTATTCTTTCACACATTAATTCATCTATAGTCAAAAATGTCCAAAACCTGTACTCAAGGCCACATGATGCAGGAAGACCATCTACCACACAAGCCCAGAAAGCACTGAGCATGCAACAAGCTGCCTAAAAGAATCCTCAAATGTCACACTACGATTTGCCAGGCCAGCAAACTTTTCTGTTGCTCCAAAACACCTAACAAGGTCAGGTATTATTTTCAACATTAAAGTTTACCTTTTGTAGGCACCAAGCAAATTTTGATGATAAGCACTGTACTTTTAATTTCCTCCTTTTACATACCTTCCAAAATGCCCAAAAAAACCTTTGTAATTTCTCTTCAGAATCTCAAAACAACTGTTATCAGTAAAGAGCAACTGTGATTATGTACTGGATTCATTATCTTTTAATTCCACACCTCTCTCCAACACTACTTTTACAACCCTGTCTATAGTGACAATGTACATCCCTGTCTAAGGCCTACTTTTCTGACCTAAGCCTCACTGTATACATAAACAGCATTACAGCTTTTAATAATTATTACCCATTTCATACATTTGCAGCATCTGCCACACTGCTTCCTTATCCACCTGTCATAAGTATTTTCTAAATCCATAAATGTAACCAGCTGTTTCTCACCTTTATCTTAGTACTGTTCACTTGTATGCCTCAGTGTAAACTTTTTGTCTATTTCACTACTCCTCTTAAACCATCCTATTCTGTCTTACCCCTCTTTCAATAATTCTATAATACACTTCACCTGGTATACTCAGCAGGCTTATTCTCCTATAATTCTTATACTCTCTTGCCCTTTTCCCTCTATGCAAAGGAACAATGCATGCTCTCTGTCAATACTTGGGTCCCTCCCCATCTTTCATGCATATATTGAACAATATACCAACCACTCCAACACTACATCCTCACTCTCTTTTAACCCCATCTGTCCCAGTTGCTTCACCCCCTTTCATTCTACTCTGCCTCACACACTTTCCCCACACAACTGACTTTTCCTTACTCCTATATGTTATTTCTCTCTGGCCAATGAATGAAGTAATGCATATCTTTCATTAGCATTTAACAGCTAAAAGCTGTTAGTAACAACTGTCTGTAAATTCAACAGTATAACAAATAAGTGATGACTTAGTAATAATTTTGTTTTAGTTTAAAGAAATCAGAGAAATTAGGTACTATATATTTACTTGAAAGGGGCTATAACATCTTGTTGACACTCGAAGGTTGATTGTCGAGTTAAAGTGTTGTACCAATATTTCCGATTTTGACTTTTACTGAATGCCATCATCCAAGGTTCTAGAAAGAAAAATATTATCACTGAGATACATATATTAGGGAACCTATTTCTGCATATATGATAACTGCAAACAAGCAGTGTCTTTACAAATTATGACACTGAAGCCAGAGTAATGCAAGGAAGGAGAATGCATCATTAGGGAAAACATAAATACTGTATACATAAGGTATTATCTAAAATCACTATTACAGGTAACTGACTAGCAAAGAACATAACTTTTGATTATTTTATAGCATTAAAAAATATTCTTTACCATCAACTTGTGTTCAACCATATCACAGGTGGGGTATGAACCCACGGTCAGAGTCTCTCAAAACTCCAGACCGTCACGTTAGCCACTGGGCCAGCTAGCTTCAATAAGATTCATCCAACTAGGTATATTTCTACACCATAGGAAGGTTAGCATAGGCACCACTGTGACGAATCTCCCACTAGCGGAGATTCGTCTGTAAAAACGTGCATTTGTGGTCACAGTGGTGCCTATGCTAACCTTCCTATGGTGTAGAAATATACCTAGTTGGATGAATCTTATTGAAGCTAGCTAGCCCAGTAAGTAACGCAACGGTCTGGAGTTTTGAGACTCTCTGACCACGGGTTCAAACTCCACCTGTGATATGGTTTGTTGCAATTGTGTCATTACGATTTCGTGAGTCAACTTGTGTTAAAGATTAAGAAAGCAGTGGAAGCATGTATATTTAGCTATTGAACACATTAAGTGTGCAAATTCCTGGCTCTTTACACCAAGAAGCATTTATGCACACATTTGTGAAGCATTTCATTGCAAATTTATATATACAGAAAAAAATTAGCATGAAAGGTACATAAAAAATTAAATATTACAAGGAAAAGCAGAACCAGCATGACAAAACATTAGAAGGTACTGAATTTGTTAACAGAACCTCACCCACTCTTTCATTTGCTCTTTTTACACTTCCTCACCACTTTCTTAACCTCGTACACTCCACCCTCCTTATATCACTTCTGCTTTGCAAAAACCTCTCATATGCTAACTTCTTCTCCTTTACCACTCTTTACCTCATCATTCCAACAATTGCTCTTCTCACCTCCCACACCCACCTTCCTATATCCATAAGCTTCTGCTGCACACACTAACACTTCATTCCTAAATCTACCCCATACCATTTCAACCTCATTACCTATCCTTTCACTAACCCATCTTTCTCCCAACAGTTGCTTATCTTACCCTGACTACTTGCTGATGCCATTCTCCTTAAACCCCCATCTACCTCTTACTCTCACTGTAGTTACAGCTAAATAATGATCTGATATATATGTTGCCCCTCTACAAACATGCAAATCCAGAAGTCTACCCATCAACCTTTTATCCACTAATTCATAGTCAAATAAACTGTTGTCATTATGCCCTATTATACTTATTTATCCCCTTTTTATTAAAATGTGTATTATTACCAAACTTCTTTCTATACAAAGCTCAATCAAAGGCCCCATTACCATCTACCCCTGGCACTCCAAACTTGCCTACTACACCCTATACAACAGCTTCTCCCAGCACAAATACTTTGTCACTTGACTTGAAACTCCCTAAACCCTCTCTTAAAATCTCAGTATCTCTATATCTCTACATTCTCAGTCTCTCTTTTTTTTTCTCTCTCTACAGGTGCAGAAACACTTAGAATAGCTCACTTTTCACAGCTGAACCTTAATCCACATAATCCTTGAATTTGGGAGCAAGGGGCTAGTAACTCCTTCTCCTGTATAAATTACCAAATTTAAAAAGAAAAACGAAAGTTTTCCATTTTAGGTCACCCTGCCTTGGTGGGATACGGCTGGTTCATTGAAAGAAAGAAATCCTTGAATTTATACATTTATATTCAAATTCATACAAAATACTAGGCTACTGTATACACTTTACCCTTAGTTGCTTTGAGGAGCAAGAGACCAGTTGGGACTGTGTAGAATGTGTCACGATCTGTATCACCTTCCACCTCTGTGAACACTCTTTTTGGTACTGGGCTTCCCTTCATGAGGCGGTGGTGCAATCTATCAAAGTACTGTGTTAATACTGTTAAGTTGCTATCAGTTTTAAAATACAATTACTGGCAACCACCATCTTAATAATGTGCAGTGGCAAGGATACTATAATCGTGAAAAAAATAATGTCTTTGAGTTAACACTTAAACTGTCCAAACACAGATCTAAATTCATACACATAGCACTCTGAACGTAGATCTATTTTTTTTTTTTTACATAAGAAAGAATGTAAAATCAAACGTAGATCTACTTTTGGAGTGCTACGTGTATGAATGCAGATCTACGTTTGGACAGTTCAAGGATTAAACAAAATCAAGAAAAAAATCAAATTCAATTTTCTAACGTGTGTTGCAAGTATGCACTTCATTACTGTAAATGATGTCATATACAGCCAACTCAGAGAACTTGCTGACCCAACAGTGTTTCTATGCCTTGAATGGCATATCAGCTTTAGTTCTAACTACAGTAAATGACAAGGTAATTGCAAATTGTTCCTAACTTCGTCACTCCATCTGAGGCAACTGCCAATATACATGTATAGTTTAACCCTTTCAGGGTTCAAGGCCAAAATCTGAAGTGGTGCCCCAGTGTCCAAGAATTCCCCCCCCCCCCCCCCCCCCCCAAAAAAAAAAATTTATTTTTTCTTATGAAATGGTAGAGAATCTTTTTGTGAAGGTAATAAAACAAAAAGTACGAAATTTGATGGAAAATTGACGAAATTATGTTCTTGCGAATTTTGAGGTGTCAGCGATATTTACGAATCAGCGATTTTGCCGACTTTTACTCTCATTTTAGGCCAATTACATTATTCCAGTCAACCAAATTCTTAGCTATTTCACTAGTATTACTTCTATTCTATCGATTGAGCACAAGAAATCGCCAAGTCAACTGTTTCAACTACAAAATAAAGTGATCGGAAATTGGTAATTTGGCCAATTTAACACAAAGTTCAAAATATTCCAATTTCAAAATAGGGTCCAGAATAAACAATGAAGGTATTCCTGGCACTAAACTAACATTTCCTCTGTTCACTAGTTACGTTTTGAGGCTTTACAAATAAATTCCATTTTGATTTTTTACTCACATAATGAATTTTTATTCACACCAAAAAATAGAAGATTTACTGTTATGCAATATTGTAATAATTGTATAAATATCATCACCACATTTGTGCATGTATATCTGACCCACCAGCTGGCGTGTATTAGACGTGTGAGGTCGTTTGTTTACTCTTGAACATAGGCAAAAATTTAACATTTCTGCTATTTTGAGCTCAGTTTCAAGCCATTTCCAGTGCTAAAACCAATCGAAATCATCTCTATTTCTGTAATATGTCTTCCATTCTATCAAATGAGACCAAGAAATCGCAAATACAACTATAAAAAAACGTACGAAAAAACACTGCAAAGCCACTGTTTTAATCGAAAATCACGGTCTCAGTTTTTTTTTCTCTCATTATACACAGTGTGCTGCAGGATTTGTTTTATGTGGTGCACACATACCACATAGATGTATTCTCTCATATCTAGGCCCAAATTTACCACTCACAGTTTATCAGAGTGAGCTGAGCTCATGGCGTAGATCTACGGTCTGGACCCTGAATGTAAAGCCGTAGATCTACGGGACGGACCCTGAAAGGGTTAACACAAAAATGTTAAATACTACAAAACTGGCTAAGAATAAGTACAGCATGTCCTTAAAGTAATGGTAGTAACTAGGAAAAATTAATTTAAACAAAATTTACAGTATTATATTTACCGCTGAGGCGAAAGAAATTCCTCTAGAGTTTCTAGTTTGTACAGCTGTTTACATCTTATGGGTGCAAGATCTGGTCGACTTGTCTTGTTCAGAGCCAATGCAAACTTCTTCAGATATGTGTGCCTGAAAATTAAAATGTAGATATTGAAATTTTGCCATTCTGGAAACTTTAATTAGTAAGTTTTTATTTATGGTACCCTACAAATGGTTTTATGAATATAAGCCTAAATTTCTACAATAATTTTCAGGGCACATAGATGTTATGGGCATACATATACAGTACATTATGTAGATTTAACCAAGAAAAACTCCATAAAATTAAATAACGTAACTTATTTTCATTGTAGTCCTCATCTCATAATTAGATGTGTTAAAATGCTGTTGTATTATATGTACAAAATTTCAAACAGGTCATTCTCTAACCTTTCAACAATGTGGAGATTTCTTATATCTTTTCCATTTAAAATTAAGCCATCTATAAAATGAAGTGTGGTCAATTTTCTCTGGGCCTTGTGTTCACCCCGGTGTTCTGTGACTATTTCAGCATAAACCAGAGTGTCAGGAGGAAGTTCCAGTCTGGTATCCACACGCATCCATGATGAATAACCTCTGCCTTCCCATCGAAAGACATTGCGTCCCCCTAGACCTAATAGATTGTATTATGCAGTTAGAATTATCTCAAATCTCATATAACTGGTAAGCTATTGTACTATCAAAGCATACAGGAAATATTTCATAAAATATGAGCTCATAATCATGCAGCAGTATAGTATATACAGTAGAAAACCTTAAGTTGCACGATCATAGCTTGTGTTATCAATATTCTGTGAATTAAATTTAGTTCTCATTTTTTAATACAAGGGCACCATTTCCATTAAGGCATGCCACAGCAGAATTCATTTCCATTAGTGGCACACATTTCTGTTAAGGAGCACCATGGCAGGCAGGCCTTACACCTCTCACTATGCACTGATTAACTCCATCATCTTGGTGCTGTGGGGAAGGGTGTGAGGGAGAATTAGGTGATGTAAACAAACAGCTTCCCATGGGGGTCATTGTATCTAGACGTGTACCATACGATTTTCAATCGGTGCACATTGCTGTTTTTCTTTTTTTCATCGCCCCAACTTGTCTCTGGATATTTATCATGGAATACAAAGTGCAGGTGACAGTGGTGAAGTAATGAAGACGAGTACATGTGAAATTTTGCCTGTTATGACAAAACTGGAGGTAATTGAGATGCTGAAGGGTGTTGCATGTATCATGGAGATGGCACGAGTGTTTTGTTTTAAAAAATTAATGATTTGGTCAATTTGAAACAATGATGCAAAGATAAAAGCTTGTGCAGTGAGTAATCATCAATGTGATGGTGAAAGAATGAGAAGCAGATCATTACATAAAATGGAAAGCTTACTAAATATGTGCATTGAAAAAGCAAAGAATTGTGTTCCACTTCATAACCTTATTATTAGTTATCATACTTTCAGACAGTGCATGAGGAGGAAGGACAACCTGAAAATGATTGCACATTTAGTTCTTGATGCTTTAAAAGATTTAGAATGTGCAGTGGGTTGCATAATAAAAAGTTTAATGGGGAGAAGGCCTCTGCTGACCATACTGCAGAAGAAAAGTTCCTTGTCAAGCTGGCCTCATTTCTGAGGGTAGCTACAAACCTGAAAAGGTATTTAACTCTTTCAGGGTTGCGACTCCTGCTCTCAGATTTACTCTCAGGGTTGCAAAATTAAAAAAAAAAAAAAAAAAAAAATGGCAAAGAATCTTTTTTATGAGAGTCATAAAACAAAAAGTACAAAATTTAATGGAAAACTGACGAAATTACGCTTTCGTGAATTTTGTTGTCGGCTATATTTACGCCTCACCAATTTCATCCACTTTGAGTTTGATTTTAGGCCAATTCCATTGTTCCAGTTAACCAAATTCTTAGCTATTTTGATAGTACGTCTTTCATTCTATCGACTGAGTAGAAGAAACTGCCCATTCTACTGTTTAACCTACCCAATGAAGTGATCAGAAATTAGTAATTTGGCCAAATTCGCACAAAATTCTAGAAATGCCAGTTTCAAAATAGGGTTAAGAGTAAACAGTGTAAACATTCCTGGCACTAAAATAACATTTTCTCTGTTCAACAGTTACGTCTCTAGGCCCCTCTTATATTATGCTTGCTTTCCACTTTGAATTTTTATTCAAACAAAAAATAGATTTACTGTTATGCAGAATACTGTATTATTGTAATAATTATATAAATACTGTAATGTCCTAAATGTGTATTAGACTGGCCAGTTGGATGTATATTGGACTTGTGTATTCTGGAATATCAGCAAAAATCGAACACTACTACTACTTTAAGATCAGTTTCAAGCAACTTTCAGTCCTGAGACCAGTCAAAATCAACTTTATTTCTGTAATACATCTTCCATTCTATCAAGCGAGACCAAAAAAGCGAGAAGATACCCATAAAACCTATACAAAAATATACCCCAAAGTTGCTGTTTGAAACCAAAAACATGGCTGCAGTTTTTTTTTCTCATTATGCACCAAGTGCTCAGGATTTTTTTTTTTTATATAGTGCACACTTACCACATAGACCCATTCTCTCATATCCGCCATCACAAATCCGGCAATCAGTTATTCGGTTCCTTCAGTTATTCGGCACTAATTTTGGCTAGCATAATTTCAAATTTCCAGGGTCGCCACACCAACCTGCTGGTACTGTTTGGTGGCGCTACTTGCTGCATAAGTCATTCCAATTTCTTTTTCTCCATTTATGGTTATAACCTGCTTACTTTAAGCCCTAGCCATGGTTCCAATGAATAAAAGAAATGCTTCTCATTATGTAAAGCACCGACACAGTACATTGTCCATTAAAGATAAGGTGGCTTTGAAGCCACTGTCGGTTGCCATGAGCTCAGTCTCATGATGCAGGAGAATATGCTTTATTATCAATCAATCAATCAAGTTTATTCTCTATAAGGATTACAATGCTGGGTTTACAGATTTTGAATATTGTGTGGTTTACATGTTTTAAAATACTACTAATTACAGAGGGGGCCACTAGGACACCTAGCATGGCTAGGCATTTCGGGCAGACTTAGATTAATTTAAACTTTAAATTATTACATATTATGGTATTAAAGCTAAGTGACTACATTATAGTTTGTGAGTTTAGCAATGTGAATGCTTTTGTTTTGGCACAATACATAGTGTCTATATTGGAGTATCATAGGCAAACTTATGACTAGTTAGGATTCATTATTTTAAGATTAAGATTTGTATTTCTGTGTTTATAGTCAATGGGTGAGTGAGTGTAAGTGTGAACCACCAGGTAGTTTACATGTAGTTAGTTGACGGGGTGTATCAGGGAGATAAGATGTTTTCTAACTGTAGTTTTGAAAGTGATAAATGTGTCTGCAGTTCTAGAGTTTTAGGCCCTTTGACACATACTGAATTTTTGTAAAGGTTTAGTCGGACACAGGGAATGTCATAGAGATGTTTGTGTCTGGTGTTATGCCTGTGGGTCCTGTCACAACTATCAAGAAAGCATTTTAAGTCAAGGTTAATATTGGAATTTAAGGTCCTGTAGATGTAGATTGCACAGTAGTAAGTGTGGATGTTCTGAACAGGGAGTAAGTTTAAATCTATGAAGAGTGGGGGAGGGGGGATGTTGCCAGGGATGGGATTTAGTGATTATTCTTACTGCAGCTTTTTGTTGGGTTATTATTGGCTTTAGATGTGTTGCTTCAGTTGATCCCCAATCACAAATAGCATAGGTGAGGTATGGATAAATGAGTGAATGGTATAGTGTGAGAAGGGCAGTTTGCGGCATGTAATATCGTATCTTGGAGAGGATCCCTACTGTTTTGGATACTTCTTTTGTTATGTGTTGGATATGGGTGCTGAAATTTAGGTTGTTGTCGAGGTATAGACCTAGGAATTTGCCCTCATTATGTCTGGCAATTAGAGTGTTGTCGATCTTAATGTTAAGTTGCGCAACACCTGCTCTGCTACCAAACATAATGTAGTTGGTTTTGTCAGTGTTAAGTGTAAGTTTATTGGCTGTCATCCAAGTCAGAATTTTGAGCAGCTCTTTGTTGACAATGGTGTTGAGGGAGGCAAGATTAGGGTGGGAGATGACGTAAGTTGTGTCGTCAGCAAAGAGAATGGGTTTCAGGTGTTGGGATACGTTTGGAAGATCATTAATGTAAATGAGGAAGAGCAGGGGACCAAGGACACTTCCCTGCGGAACTCCAGTATCAAGTGGCCATGTTGATGAGGCTGTGTCTTCAACCCTTTGGGGGTTTCGGACGTACTAGTACGTCTTACGACCCAGGGTTTTTGACGTACTAGTATGCCTAAATTCTAGCGCCCTCAAATCTAGTGAGAGAAACCTGGTAGGCCTACATATGAAAGAATGGGTCTGTGTGGTCAGTGTGCGCAGTATAAAAAAAATCCTGCAGCACAAAGTGCGTAATGAGAAAAAAAAAAAAACTTTGACCGTGTTTTTGAATTAAAACAGTGACTTTGCACTGTATTTTCGTATGGTATTTATTATTGTATTCTAGTTTTCTTGGTCTCATTTTATAGAATGGAAGACATACTACAGAAATTGAGATGATTTTGACTGGTTTTACAATGAAAAGTACCTTGAGCTCAAAGTACAGAAATGTTCGATTTTTACCAAAGTTCAAAAGTAAACAAATCATGCCAAGCGTCCAATACACATCAACTGGTGAGTCTAATATTCTTTCACAAGTGCACTGATATTATTTATACCATTTCTACACTAATGCAGTAGTCTGCATAACAGTAAATCTTATTTTTTTTTGTAAGAATAAAAATTCAAAGTGGAAAGCCAAAGAAATATAAGAGGGGCCTGGGGATGTGACTAACGAACAGAGAACTTATTATTTTAGTGCCAGGAATGTCTTTCTTGTTTATTCTGGACCCTTTTCAGAAATTGGCATCTTTTGAAATTTGTGTGAAATTGGCAAAATTGCTAAATTCTGACCACTTTATTGGATAGTTGAAATCGGTAAATGGGTGGTTTCTTGTACTCATTCGATAGGAAAAATGGAGTTCTAGCGAAATAGTTATGATTTTTGTCGACTAGTACACTGGAATTGGCTGAAAATAGGACTCAAAGTGAGCAAAATCGCCGATGCGTAAACATCGTCGAGACAGCTAACTTTGCGAGAGCATAATTCCGTAAGTTTTCCATCAAATTTCATAATTTTGGTGTCATTATGACCGGGAAAAGATTCTCTATCTTTTCATAAGAAAAAAAATTTTTTTTTTTTTTTTTTTAAATTTGGCCGACCCTGAGAACAAGTTTCTGAGAGGACCTGTCGACCCTCAAAGGGTTAATGGTGACATACTGATACCTATTAGTAAGGTAGGATTTGAAATATGGAAGCGCATGGCCTCTTATACCATAATGGTCCAGTTTGTGGAGTAGGATGCTGTGGTCTACTGTGTCAAATGCTTTTCTTAGGTCAATAAAAATTCCTAGCAGATATTCCTTATTTTCCAATGCTGTGTAAAGCAGATCTAGCATTTTTACAATTGCATCATTAGTGCTTTTATTTTTCCTGAATCCAAATTGGCAGGGGCTGAGTATGTTTTGTGCCGTTA